AAGTCAAGACACCAGCTGAAATCTATCAGTAATAGAAAGCAGTCCTGCCCCTTGTCAGTGCAAATTAAGATCAGCTGGTTCAGTCTCAATTTATGGGCTATAAAAAGGTGTCTCATTACCAAAGTGTCAAACAAGAAATATCTCATAATGAGTAAAAGCAAAGAGCCCTCTCAAGACTTTCGCAACCTTATTGTTGCAAAACATACTGATGGCATTGGTTACAGAAGGATTTTTAAACTTCTGAATGTTCTAGTGAGTGATGGGGCCATAATCTGGAAGTGGAAAGAGCATAATTTCACCATAAACCAGCCATGACCAGGTGCTCCTTGCAAGATTTCTGACAGAGGAGTGAAAAGAATTAACAGAAGAGTTGTACAAAAGCCAAGGAACACTTGTGGAGGGCTTCAGAAAGACCTGGAATTAGCAGGTATACTGTATTGTTTCAAAGAATACAATAAAGTAATGCACTCAACCACCATGGCCTGTATACAAGCTCACTAATACTCCATTGCTGAAGAAAAATCATCTTCGCGCTTTTAACATTTGATGCACAACATTTAGACAAGTCTGTGAAATACTGGGAGAATATATTATGGTCAGAAGAGAACAAAATTGAACGCTGGATGTCATAATACACATCATGTTTGGAGGTAAAATGGCACTGCACGTCACCCCCAAAAACACCATACCAACAGTGGAGTTTGGAGGTGGGAACATCATGGTGTGGGGCTGTTTTTTTTTTTTTAGCATACGGTACTGGCAAACGTCATGTCATTGAAGGTAGGATGAATGGAAAAATGTACCAAGACATTCTTCATAAAAATCTTCTTCCATATCCCAGGATGATGAAGATGAAATGAGGGTGGAGATTTCAGCAAGACAATGATCCCAAACACAAAGGCAAGGAAACTCTCAATTGGTTTCAAAGAAACAAAATAAAGCTGCTAGAATGGTCCAGCCAATCATCTGACTTGAATCCAACAGAAACTCTATGGAAAGAACTAAAGATCAGAGTTCATAGAAAAGGCCCACAGAAACCCTCAAGACTTGAAGAATGGGTCACAATAATGCCTGAACAATAGATGCGACTAGTTTCCCCATACAGGAGGTGTCTTGAAGCTATCATTACCAACAAAAGAAATTTGTACAAATTATTACATAAGTTTCAGTTAGCGTGTTCAATACTTTTTCCCTGTGTCATTCCATTTTATTACACATAATCCAATTTCTGAACTTATTTGTTTGGGTTTCTTTGTATGTATGGATTGCATAGATTGTTACCGATGTGTTGAAAATTTCATGTCAATAGCACCTTTAGAAATATATTTACTGAGAAAAATGGTGATGTGTTCAATACTTATTTTACACACTATCTCTTGCAGAGAAGCCACCACTGATTGGACTGATCCCATCTGAAACAGAAGGACGTCTAGACTTATTTCTAGTGCCTTGAGATCTAAGACATACCTCATGTCCCAGTCTGGTTTTGGGCCTGCAAACCTGTCGAGTGTCTTGCAATACTGAGCCATAACTTCTGCTCCAAGCAAAAATGCAAAGGGAAAAGCCTGATAACTCTACAATGAACCCAGAAGGCCCCAAGAGGCGTACTTAACCTATTAGGTTTCTGCTGCTAAAGACAGAGCAAGTCACCTCAGTGACTGTCCCAGTATCCTCTGCCCGAGATACTTCTCAAAACACAGCAGCCTTAGACTTTGAAGGGGAAAAACTACAGCACCTGGCCCGTCTATGTACTAACCAGTGCTGACCCTGCTTAGCTTCTAAGTTCAGATGAAATCAGGCTCATTCAGGGCAATGAGAACATAGCCCACTACAGCCCTGCCACCAAGAATAGCTGCAGTGGCAAACACAGTGGGTCAGATGAACTTGACCCCACTGGTCCATTGACCCCCCCAATAACAAATCTAATGGATCCGAGGACTGCAGATAACGCAATTATAATTATGCAAGTATGAATGCAATCATGTAATGCAATGCTACAACTGCCCCACTTTCTAGGAGCACATTGTTTCCTCAAAGAACTGTTAAAATTAATTGCACTTGGTTCCATACTTGACTCCCAGGACTAGTCAAGTACAGTCAGGTCCATAAATATTGGGACATTGACACAATTCTAACATTTTTGGATCTATACACCACCACAATGGATTTGAAATGAAACAAACAAAATGTGCTTTAACTGCAGACTTTCAGCTTTAATTTGAGGGTATTTACATCCAAATCAGGTGAACGGTGTAGGAATTACAACAGTTTGCATATGTGCCTCCCACTTGTTAAGGGACCAAAAGTAATGGGACAGAATAATAATCATAAATCAAACTTTCACTTTTTAATACTTGGTTGCAAATCCTTTGCAGTCAATTACAGCCTGAAGTCTGGAATGTATAGACATCACCAGAGGCTGGGTTTCATCCCTGGTGATGCTCTGCCAGGCCTCTACTGCAACTGTCTTCAGTTCCTGCTTGTTCTTGGGGCATTTTCCCTTCAGTTTTGTCTTCAGCAAGTGAAATGCATGCTCAATCAGATTCAGGTCAGGTGATTGACTTGGCCATTGCATAACATTCCACTTCTTTCCCTTAAAAAATGCTTTGGTTGCTTTTTCAGTATGCTTTGGGTCATTGTCCATCTGCACTGTGAAGCGGCGTCCAATGATTTCTGAAGCATTTGGCTGAATATGAGCAGATAATATTGCTGAAACACTTCACAATTCATCCTGCTGCTTTTGTCAGCAGTCACATCAACAATAAATACAAGAGAACCAGTTCCATTGGCAGCCATACATGCCCACACCATGACACTACCACCACCATGCTTCACTGATGAGGTGGTATGCTTAGGATCATGAGCAGTTCCTTTCCTTCTCCATACTCTTCTCTTCCCATCACTCTGGTACAAGTTGATCTCGGTCTCATCTGTCCATAGGATGTTGTTCCAGAACTGTGAAGGCTTTTTTAGATGTCGTTTGGCAAACTCTAATCTGGCCTTCCTGTTTTTGAGGCTCACTAATGGTTTACATCTTGCGGTGAACCCTCTGTATTCACTCTGGTGAAGTCTTCTCTTGATTGTTGACTTTGACACACATACACCTACCTGCTGGAGAGTGTTCTTGATCTGTCCAACTGTTGTGAAGGGTGTTTTCTTCACCAGGGAAAGAATTCTTCAGTCATCCACCACAGTTGTTTTCCGTGGTCTTCCGGGTCTTTTGGTGTTGCTGACCTCACCGGTGCATTCCTTCTTTTTAAGAATGTTCCAAACAGTTGTTTTGGCCACGCCTAATGTTTTTGCTATCTCTCTGATGGGTTTGTTTTGTTTTTTTTCAGCCTAATGATGGCTTGCTTCACTGATAGTGACAGCTCTTTGGATCTCATCTTGAGAGTTGACAGCAACAGATTCCAAATTCAAATAGCACACTTGAAATGAACTCTGGACCTTTTATCTGCTTATTGTAATTGGGATAATGATGGAATAACACACACCTGGCCATGGAACAGCTGAGAATCAACTGTCCCATTACTTTTGGTCCCTTAACAAGTGGGAGGCACATATGCAACCTGTTGTAATTCCTACACCGTTCACCTGATTTGGATGTAAATACCCTCAAATTAAAGCCGACAGTCTGCAGTTAAAGCACATCTTGTTTGTTTCATTTCAGATTCATTGTGGTGGTGTATAGAGTCAAAATTGTTAGAATTGTGTCGATGTCCCAATATTTATGGACCTGACTGTATATATGCATCAAGCTCAGAATGCAGCTTATATGCTGCTTCAGTTCCTCCTGCAGCCCAAATGCAAGCTACTCTGGAGACTCAACTCCTTTAAAGTACACCGATACCCCTTGCAGGGTGTATCAAAAATACAGTTGTACAAGCCTCTCCTGGGATTATGCAGACTAATGCAATGTATAATAGTGTCAACTCCCCCACTGGTAATACTCACACATTCTCAATCAGCCAAATAACCATCAGTCCACGTGGCTACAAACCATACGCCAAAATGGCCACCCCTCTACTTCCCGTCTCTACTGGACAAGAGTAGGCTATAGAGAGCAGCCCTGTGGCCTCTAGTGGTTGGAGGAGAAACTGCAGCCCAATACTCCTTCAGAGAACATGGCCCGCCAGACCAAACAGCAAACTGCCCCCAGTGGCCATGGGGAAAAGGACCAAACAGATTTTAACCACTTGCCCTCCTGAGGATTTACCCTTCTTCCTGACCAGACCATTTTTTGCTTTACGGCGCCGCATTACTTTAACTGAAAATGGCGCGGTCATGCAACGCTGCACCCAAATGAGATTTACGCCCCCCCACCCCACACAAATAGAGCTTTTATTTCGGTGGTATTTGATTGCCTGTGCGTTTTTTATTTTTTGCGCTATAAAAAAAGACTGACAATTTTGAGAAAAAAAACAACAATATTTAGACTTTTTGCTATTAAACATGTCCTAAAAAAAATTTAAACAATGAAGTTTCGTTATAAATTTAGGCCAAAATATTTTCTGCTACGTCTTTGCTAAAAACAAAAAAAAAATCCCAATACCTGTAAATTAACCACTTGCCTACCAGGCACTTATACCCCCTTCCTTACCAGGCCAATTTTCAGCTTTCAGCGCTGCCACACTTTGATTGACAATTGCGCGGTCATGCAACATTGTACCCAAATGAAATTGTGATCATTTTTTTCTCACAAATAGAGCTTTCTTTTGGTGGTATTTAATCGCCACTGGGCGCTTTACTTTTTGCGCTATAAATTAAAAAAGTGCAAAAAATTTGAAAAAAAAAAAAAAAAAAGTTTATTTGTTTCTTTTATAAAATTTTTCAAACAGGTATTTTTTCTCCTTCACTGATTTGCGTTGATGAGGCGGCACTAATGGGCACTGATAGGCGGCACTGATGGGCACTGATAGGCAGCACTAAAGGGCACTGATAGGCAGTACTAATGAGGTGGCACGGATAGGCGGCACTGATAGACAGCACTAATTAGGGGTCACGGATAGGCGGCACTGATAGGTGACACTGATGATGGGTACTGATAGACGGCACTGACTGGCATCACTTCTGGGCACTGACTGGCGGCACTGACTGGCACAACCCCTGGGCACTGACTGGCAGTACTGCTGGGCGGCACTGGTGGGCGGGCACAGGTGGGTGGCACTGGTGGGCACAGGTGGGTGGCACAGGTGGGTGCGCTCTGACAACTGCCGGTTCTCGGCAGTACTTTCCTCACGATCTGACAGCGTGAGGAAAGTGCAGCCGAGAACCGGCACTTGCATTTCCCTGTGATCAGCGTGTCATTGGACACCGCTGATCACGTGGTAAAAGGCCGGTGGGATCGGCCTTTCACCACATCACGTGATCAGCTGTGTCCGTAGGACACAGCGATCACGGAGATCGCCGGGTGCGCGCCCCCTGGGGCGCGCAGGAGAGCGCGTTCTGGGAGGACGTCATACGACGTCCACTCAGAACTGGCCGGCCGCGGTGAAGCCGTCATTCGGCTATGCGCGGTCGGCAAGAGGTTAATTGGTTTACGTGAAAGTTACAGCGTTTACAAATGGCATTATATATACAGTGATTGTTTTACAATTTTTTACCAGTAATGGCAATGATCAGCGATTTATAGGACTGTGGCGGACATTCTGAAACTGGGGTAACTGACTTGGTGTCACCGACATCCCCAGGGACACCAATACAGTGATCAGTGCTAATAACAAGCACTAACACTGTACTAATGGCACTGGGCAGGAAGGTGTTAACATGTGGGGCGATAAAAGGATTAACTGTGTGCGCTTCACTGTAAGCACACTGCTTTGCAAAACCATGCATAGCAGTGTGCAGGAGCTGACATGGGAGAGAACTGTATTGTTTACTTACAGTTCTCTCCCTCTGTTGGTAATGCTCCTCTGTCACCGGGTGTCGGTGAGTAATCATCAGCCAGGACCCAGTGATTGACAGCCGAGGCCGTGAATAGCGGAGCGGGTAGGGCGCACCCCTACCCGGTAATAAAAACACACACACACACACACACACACACACACACACACGTTCAAAATAATAGCAGTGTGTTGAAAAAAGTGAATAAAGCTCAAAATCCTTCTAATAGATTTTATTTCCATACACACAAATGCATTGGGAACACTACACATTCTATTCCAAATCAAAACAAAGAAAAATATATCAAATTTGTGTTGTTCCTCTAAAGAAAATTGAAGAAAAGTGAATATTAGACTGTTCAAAAAAATAGCAGTGTTTTGTATTCTTCTTTACAAACTCAAACATTCACTATATAAACGGAAAAATGTTTGAAGATTTTGCTTTCCTTTGAATCACTTAATATTTAGTTGTATAAGCACTGTTTCTGAGAACTGCTGTACATCTGTGTTGCATGGAGTCAACCAACTTCTGACACCTGTGAACAGGTATTCCAGCCCAGGATGATTGGACTACATTCCACAGTTCTTCTCTATTTCTTGGTTTTGCCTCAGAAACTGCATTTTTGATGTCACCCCACCACAAGTTTTCTATTGGATTAAGATCCGGGGATTGGGCTGGCCACTCCAGAACATCAATCTTGTTGGTCTGGAACCAAGATGTTGTACGTTTACTGGTGTGCTTGGGGTCGTTTTCTTGTTGGAACACCCATTTCAAGAGCATTTCCTCTTCAGCATAAGGCAGCATGACCTCTTCAAGTATTCTGATGTATTCAAACTGATCCATGGTATGCGATAAATAGGCCCAACACCGTAGAATGAGAAACATCCCCATATCATGATGCTTGCACAACCATGCTTCACTGTCTTCACAGTGTACTGTGGCTTGAATTCAGTGTTTGGGGGTCGTCTGACAAACTGTCTCCGGCCACTAGACCCAAAAAGAACAATCTTACTTTCATCAGTCCACAAAATTTTGCGCCATTTCCATTTAGGCCAGTCAATGTGCTCTTTGGCAAATTGTAACCTCTTCAGCACGTCTTTTTTTCAACAGTGGGACTTTGCGGGGGCTTCTTGCAGATAGAAGACGCCTATGTGAAGCCAAGCTAATTGTAACAGTACTCACAGGTAACTTTAGACCTTCTTTGATCTTTCTGGAGCCGATTGTTGGCTGAGTCCTTGCCATTTTGGCTATTCTATCCATTTGAATGGTAGTTTTTTTCGCTTTCCTCCACGTCTTTCAGGTTTTGGTTGCCATTTTACAGCATTTGCGATCATTTTAGCTGAGCAGCCTATCATTTTCTGCACTTCTTTATATGTTTTCCCTTCTCCAATCAACTTTTTAATCAAGGTACGCTGTTCTTCTGAACAATATCTGGAACGACCCATTTTCCTCAGAATTTCAGAGAGAAATGCACTGTAACCAGCATGTACAACATTTGCTGCCTTCCTTCTTCCTTAAATAAGGGCAATAATTTCCACCTGTTTTTCAAAGAATGAATGACCTCACTAATAGAACTCCACACTGCTATTATTTTGAACATGTCCCTTTCAGTTAGTGATTCAATTACACAGAATCAGCAGCATGCATGTCATGACTGTTGGGTCTGTTGGATTTCTATTACTCTACTACACCTGCTAGTAAATTATTTGCCATGTAGAAATACCATTTCCACCAAAAACAGTGATTGATCAGGTTAGTGATGTCTGACTGCTATTACTTTGAACACAACTGTATATATATATATATATATATATATATATATCTATATATATATATATATATATATATCACCCATATACACACACGATTTTGCGCACCCCTGCTGCCCTGTAGCAGCATGTCTGCTATAGGATGGCAGGAAAGCGGTTAATGAAACACTGCAATGTAATCTTACCACTGCCGACTCAAGAATCATAACAGGAGTCCAATCTTCGCCCACCATGGCAGGTTTTGTCATAAAAAGATCCTCACGGATTAGGCCTTCCTTTATTTTCCTGGGGCCACTGCCTTGGACCTGTAGAGAACCCTGCTGGAGAGTACCTTGGTGAGATAATAACTGCACAAGGTTACGATATGCAGGATCCAGCGCCGTAAGGCCACATTACTGGCAATCCATACATCCTCCATCTTCACAACAGGGTTGGATACCATCCATTTTAGCATCCAGCCATCCAACTGGATCAGACTATGCAGTCCCTTGATTCCTATTAGAACCTTTCTGTGACCAGCAATACTTTTACAGAGAGCTGAACGTCAGTGACCTTCAAGACACTGGCAAATAAACTGAGGTACTTCCTGTATAGGAAGGGTTATATAGGGGAGGACTTCCTGTTTGATTCATCTGCCAGTGTCCTATAGGTGGTGCATAACCCACTTAGTAATGATTATAGCCAGCTCTGTGTCCTGTGAGATACGATAAAGAAAACGTCTTTTTTCATTTATATAGCAGAGTGTTTAAAAAACAAAACAAAAAAAAGGTGGCCTAAAAACCACAAAAACAGAGCTCTATATCTCAAAAAATGATGGAAATTTCATTTGGGTACAGTGTTGCATGACTGAGCAATTATCATTCAAGGTATGACAGCGCTGAAAAATGGCCTTGAATGGAAGGGGGTGAAAGTGTCTGGACTTGAAGTGGTTATGTATACTTATGTTCTTTCTGCAACAGCAATTTCTATGGTGGCACCCTGTCTGTCTACTGTCAAAACAATGCTCTATGTGGAGTGTAGCAGGACCAAAGCTGTGGCAGTGAATTACCTGTCCTTGTCCCTGAAGCCCTTGATTTTGTTGTGAGGAACTGTGACAGGTGGATATACTGTGTGTCCTGGAGGGATAGGTGTTTTTTTTTTTTCTTAAATTGGTCTTGGAACATTGTGTGTGGTACTTGCTCGCTGGGCCTCATCAATGCTCCTGCTGGCATGTTTTACTTGCTATTGATACAGTGTGGGTAAAGTCCCACATGCATGTTGCCATTCCCTTCTTCCTTCAGCCAGTAAATGGAATACAGCTCTCCTGACTACTGCCAGTAACATTTTAGCCAATACATCCACACATGTCCAGGGAACATAGCAGCATCACACTACCTTCTCTTTCAAAATTGGGAGGGCAGTTTTTAAAGGGCTCCGCAGACTGCAAGGGGGTGAGTGTAAAATTGCAACCTTGCACAAAAGAAAGCATACCCTCATTCTCTTGTTCTATAGTTTATGTATCTAAATTAAATTGAAAACTAGACAAGCAATATCTCCGTCCTGAGCCCCATCTTCTCATCTCACCAAACCTCAGCTGTGCATAAAAAACTAGTTGCACCAGCTCAATCAACCTCTATCCTAGATGAGGAATGGTTCTCACCAAACATTCTAGAATGCTAAACTATATTATCATTAAAAGGTATACAGATGTTTGTTATGGTACTAGTAGTCCTATTAATGGTATTACACTTAGTCATGTCCACAATGTAGCCCCAAGAAATTAAATATAAATTTAAAACCTTTTTTCTGGCGCTTTTCTTTTTGCTTGTAAAAATACATTAAAGCACAACATTAAAGTGGTAGTAAAGTCTTTTTTTTTTTTTTTCACTTGTACCTACAGGTAAGCCTATAATCAGGCTTACCTGTAGGTACTGTAAATATCTCCATGTGCTATGAAAGAACAGCATCCCAGCAGCCATTATTTCAGAACTTTGAGCTGTAAAAAGTGACTCACATGCACGGGGATGTCACATTCAAGCTGCTGGAGCCTGCGAACCCAGAAGAAGAACCAGGCAACGATGGAAGCCCTGTCAGCGGTGACAGCACGCTGCTGGAGGGCTTCATTTTAAGGCAAGTTTGTCATAATGTGCTAGTAGGCATACATACTAGCACAATATGTCATTATCTTGAAGAGTCGAGGTTTACTACCACTTTAGTCTTTAATGCATTCAGTGAATGCTGGTATTTTCAGTATTACATGTACTAATCAAAATGGTTTGCCAAGAAACAAAAATAGTAAAACCTGTAATATTTATTTTTTCAGAACACTAAAAAAAAAAATTTGCTTTGTACTACTACTGTATCAAAATTCATTCCAATCCAAAATGTATATATTTTATGTTTAAAGACATTAAACCTTACCTGACTACATAATCTCAGTCTCTCAGTCAGGGAGCCAATAGAGGCACACTCACTCAACAGAAAATGAGCTGTTGGCCAGGTTTCAATGTGGAATGCATACAGTATGAAGTAAAAAAAAACAAACAAAAAAACAGTAAAATTGCAGTAACTTTAAAAATTATCTTTAATGAATTTCATTAAAACCATGAGAGGAAATGTAGGCTGCAACTTTAACTAAACTTACTAAAACAGTGGAGTTGATTTACAAAAAAAGCAAACAGGTTATCCACATTGCAAGGGAGCTTTCACTTAG